GTTAGGTATAAGCAGTGGTATAGGTTTTGATTTTTAATTGTATATCAATAAATATTTTGCATCAAAATAATATACTCTTCCGTGTAAGTATATCTACTTAAATCTTCATTCTTTAAAATACTTGTTTTTACTTGTATTCCTATAATCTTCGTTATTTTCAAATTTTTCCAAAAATGTTTTGTTTGGTAATACTTAGACTGCCCTCCTGTAGACATTATCCACTCAGATTAGTTCTTCGTATAACCGATTTGTTATTTAATTCAAATTTAACATAATATCCAATACAGTGACCTACTAATTGACGAACAACACTTGCCACTTTACTTACAGCATAGACTCTTCTGGGTTTTTTTTTGTAAATTTATAGTGCATAAGTGTATTTGATTTAAACTTTACTCTTTTGGTAATATAAAAATATAATTAAAACTTTTTTGGTATGTTTTGAACAATTAAGTTTTTTGGTTGCATTAATTAGAGAGACAATGTAATTTATTATTCTTAAAATGTCTTGAACAATTTAAATTTATTTTTAAATAAATAACTTGGTAATGGTTTTGATAATATTTAGCTACATTAGCAGATTCAAATACTCAAAACTCAAAAGAATTGTCTTGATTTACCTTTTTTAGTTAAATATATTTATTTAAGTTCATAAATTAACTCTGTTAATTTATTATATTCGCTATATTTTTTAATGTATTAAGCATAAGTTTAAGGTGCATTTTGTCATTGTTAAATAATTTAGTACAGGGATGACATTTTAAAACGTACTATTTCCATTTTACATATTTTTTAAGGTACCACGATTTTCTATGATATAATTACTATGTAAATTACTAGATAATTATATTTATTATTAAAGCACAAACTAAACCCAATTTGCTACCGGAATTCACCCTCAACTCTAAAACCATTTTTACTGCTTCAAAAGAGCACATACAAGATTTTTTATAAGTACCTACCTAGTTCATGTTGAAACCAAAAAAACTAATCAAAAAATATTTAAACACAATTTTTTTTAAAATAATACATTGTAAGTTAACGTTTTAACAACAAATAACGGGTTTAGGTTATTTTGTAATAGGTACCCAATAAAAAAATATTATTCGTGAGGAATTAAAACTCTTAGGTCTTACGCATATTATATTATATTTTATATACACAATGACATGTTCAAAACTTTCATATTAAGTTTATGCCTATTTTTACCACGAACCTAATCACGCCATTCTGTGATAAGTTGGTATTGACTCAAAAGTTAATAATAATAATATTATATATTTATGTGGCATGAATATACCTATAGGCTATAGTCTATATACTATTATAACAAGTATAAATATAATATAATATAATATATTAATTTTTTATAAATGCATTTTTTCCGGCAAAAATGAATTACCGTCTTACTAATAGTAAAATAAATTATTACAATAGAAATATTAATACATCATAAAATATGCTTAGTAGTATAATATTGGCTGACAAACTGTCTATTTGCTTAGAATCAAAACGTAAATGCAATGATTTATCGTTGAATTCAAATTTAACATATATGTACATTACAGTGACTTATTGTCTATTGAATGACGAGATAATAACTGTACAGCAGAATGGTCACATATTTTCCATTCTTTTTTTATACTAGGTATATGTACTTACCCGAGAAAATAAAATAAACGTAACATTTTACTCACTATTTTTGAATGGACTGAAAAGCTTAACACTATAACAGTAATACAGTATAAGTAATAAACATAATATGGTTAAAGTATATTATTAATATTTCAATAATTGGAATATTATAAATACAACTGGGAAGGAGATAGGTAGGCACAATTATTTTGAAACTAATATACTTAATAATGTTCAAGAATTATTGTTTATCGATAAAAATAAAATCTAAAAATTTGATTTTAAATTTATTTTTTGTTTCAAATAACTACTTTTCATCAAATTGTATTTAAATAAGTATTATTTTATACGAAATTCACTAATTAACTAGCTGTGTACCAGTAGATCAATAGCTAAGACTAATGTAAATTGATTTATAGTTGTCATTAGTGCATATGTGTCATTGTATAATGTTATAGGTATTATATTTTATACTTGTATTATACTTTTATTGACAATATAATTATTTTAAAAAATAGGTATTATATTAGGTAATATATCTGTTACCTAATTCCTTATTCTCTCGGTAGGAGCTCTCTTTTTATACATTTTCTAAGTGTGATTTAAACTAAGTCACAACTCATAAGAACAAGCAGGGCCGGCGTTATACAATTTTGACGGGGGGGGGGGGGGTTGAGATCAAGTATTTTCCGACTGAAGTATAATTTCTGACAGTTCTCTGTTATTAAGAAAATGCCGACTGATAGTTACGAAAAATTCAAAGGGGGGGTGTGACGACCCACCATACTACTATTGCCACCGGCCCTGAGAACAAGTACAAAAAAGTTTTTGGTCAGAATTTAAATATAGGTAACATCAATGCAATAAATAAAAAAAACTGATCATTAACACATTTGGTGATATTTTGAGATTGATATGTTTATGGTGCTTATGTATGATAATAATGTTATCAGATGACAGACAGTTAAAATCAAAAGAATTCGTTAAATTTATGAATACATTTATTTAGTAATATACACACTGAATATATATATTCTATATAGGTAATAAAAATTTGTTATATTCTGATTGTTATACAACTGAAAATAGTACAAGTCTTTGTGATGACTTTAAATTAATTTGCTATTTTTATAATACTAGTGCCTAATGCCCATAGGACATCGTGCGGTTTGCCATAATATGCAAATACGAAGTGCGTTGTAATAATAATTGGATTTTGTGCGTTTTGCCTAATTGTTTAATACTAGCATAGATATACCTTGGGAAATACAATGTTTTAATGTAATTTGTAAATAGTTCGCTTTCCCCTAAGTTACGTGTGGAAAAATTAGGTGCTTTATGTAGGCAGGTATAACGATATTACTCATTTTGAAACACTATTTAACATAAAATAATCATAAACGTAAATAGTACGTTTTGATACAATTTGACCACGCCATTCTATTTCTTGTTATTTTTTCAATTTTAATGGATCTACAACTAGGTTTATGATATTTTGGAAATTGTACATTTTGAAATATCGCCCCCATTCGCTGTTCGAGTAAGACTTATAGATTTTAAAAAACCTTATAATTTTGTGATACGATTTTGAGTATTGAAGTTTTGAAACGGTTTTTTTCTTTTTATTAAACCGAAAACAATATAAACGGTGCTCGTAATAAGTTATTGGGAAGGTAATAATAACATTTAATACCGACGTAAGTATACTATATATCTAACTATATAAAGTATAGTATTTTATCAAAAACAGAAAATCAAATAAAAGCTCGTACGCTCGTATCCTATTAATCTTGGGAAAATGTCTGAAACGTATTACACAGGTATTATATACGTATTACTATAACAAATAGTTTAAGCGCCTATTATTATTTGTTATATATTATATGTACTATAATAATTAGATTTTTGTTAAACTTTATTTTACGTATATTTTATCGAAATGATAATGATAAATAAAAAAAAAATCGATCAAAAAGCGTTAAGGGACTGTAGGGACTGACGTAATTTTAAAGGTATTGTGCCCGTGACGGAAGGGTCAACAGACTACAAATGCAGCAGAATTGACAATCCCACGTGATGGAGCTTGTGGCTGCGGCGCCGGAGGTGGGGTGGTGGCGGAAGAGGCAGAAATGGATTAATTCCGCGAACTGTTATTCGAAAATAAATAAACGAAAACTTGACGAATGTAAACCGGTAATAAGTAATAACCTACTTATCCTTTTTTCTCGGGACCGGCAATAATACGATTATTTTCGTGTTTACTCAATCTACAAACACCCACACGACGTTTACCCCGCACAGGCAGTATCTGCAGCACCCGCACCCGCACCCAAAAACAAATAACCCCGCGGTCGGTGGGCCGAGCGGAGGCGTCGAGCAATTAATTTCGAAATTATAAATTTCGTACCCTCCGGACGATCGCCCAACGCACTCGACCGCCTGCGAGGTCCGCAGGTCTAAGTCTGAGTTGCTCCCGAATCCTGGGTGTGTGTGTGGGACGGTGTGGTGGACGAGGTGTGGGACGGGGTGTGGACAACGCACGGTGTGACGGCTAAATGCCGTGCGAAAGAGGGTAAACGGAAAAAAAATTCGCTCAAAAAATGTAAAAATAAAGCTTCTTCCCCCGATCGTCACACGCGAACGGCCGACCGCGGGACGGCCGAGGGGTGGGGTGGCGTGGAGCGAGCGAGCGGGCGATCGGTGACGGGGGTGGGGGTGGGTGAGGGAGAGACGTGACAGTTGCAGTGTTGAGAGTCGGCGACTAGGGGACTAGGGGATGGGAAAAATTATCCCTGGACGAGGATGCGCGCGCAACGCTCGTGTCACCCGTGGCAACGGGAGGATCACCGCCGCGTGCTTCGCCGCCGCGGCCGCAGCTTGAGGACGAGGCCCAACGGAGTGGCCGGGCGCGTGGTTAGCGTATATTATGTGAGCGGGAGTGAGAAACGGTTCGCGCCCGGGTCGGCGGCGGTGGCTGACGTGTCGCGCGCGTCGCATCTCTCTCGCACGCTCGCCGCCGTCCAACCCCTCACCCCCGCCCATCCGTCACCGGTCCGGCGATCACTCTCTCATGCCGCCGCTCACCGGCAAACGCACCGGCACGCACACTCGGCGCGCGCGCAACGTACCGCTCGCCGCCGCCGACGACGACGACTGGCGCGCGCGGCAAACGCAATGATCCCAGTGCCGAGCTGTGCAGTACACATAGCGTAACGGTCGCGGCCAGGCGCCCACTTGACGTACGTACCGGTCGCGCGCGCCACACGCACACGAGACACCGCCGCACGAATTTCCGCGCGCGCGATCGACACGATAATAATAATATATTTTTACTGTCGTCGTCGATATAATTATTATATTATAATCTAATTATCACCCGTTATCAATTGGCGCCCACCACCACCCGCCACGCCGACCAACCGGCGCCCGTCAAACGATAACAGCAAACCACCCAATATCGTGTCATACCGGTGAGATTTTCTTTCGGCCGCTGCGGGGCGAAAGCAACACAACCGGTCTAGCGCGACAATGTTATGTGACGCGACACTGCAGTAAGTACACGTGCGCCCGATCGCGCGCGCGTGTTTCTTTCCGGCTGCGTGTGCCTGCAGCACAACACCGGTTTCGCAATAAGTACCTACCACAATATTATTACGTCGCACGTGCGATAACGAATTTTCTAATAAATAAATAATAATATATTCGCGGACAAAAAAATCTTCATAGTCACCACGCGTAGTCCACGCATCGCCGTCATGCGGCGGCGGCCGTCCAACCACGTCCACCGCCGTCCACGCACCGGTCGTGGTGCCGTAGCCGCCGCCGGCCATACCGGTGTCCGTCGTAGCGCCGGCCACAACCACGGCGGTCGCTGTCCGTGCGTCGCCGCTGCAGCTACCGCACCACCACGTGCCAGCCGCCGATTGCTGCAGTCGTCCCGCGCCCATTAGAGACGTCCACTGCACAAGTAGGAATCCTATTTTTCATATAATAACCTACCTTTTTGGGGTTGGGGGGGGGGGGGGTTGGAGGTCTAATTTAACTGACAAGCCGTCCCGATACGTTTTCGTCGGGGGACTTGGTACCGGTTTTTGGATCTATACCTTGTGTAGTTGCGTGACGGCGTTTAGGAACCTACCTAGGTATTACGTGACGTCGTGACAAGTTTGTTTTTTTTCATACTGCAAACTTACGCATAAGTCAAACTCGTATCAGCCGCATCCCTGATACAGTAATGAATATAATATTACCTTTCACAGCCGTAATCATAACACACACCGTGTACTCGAAAACACGACAAATTCACTGGCGCTAGAGACGTATTATTTATAATACAATATACACGCCGTAAGTACCTACGAAAGAATTGTCGTCCTCGGTGCTCGGCTCGTTTAAAAACCAAATAAATTTTATTGAACGAAAATATCGCCATCAAAACTATTCAATCGGTCATATTGTTTGGTAGTACCTATCTACCTATTATAATATATATCGTAATAAAAAATAACTACCTAGCGTATAACATTATTAAAAATACAAGCTATGTTATATTGTAATATAATATTATGATATATTATGTAGAGGTGAGTTACCAATTTACCATAGAAAGCAAAACGAGTAAATAGGTACCAAACCGATTTATCATAATGCTAGTCTTACTGATAATAACGCTATAACTACAATTTAGAGTCCAAAGATGTTTTCGAATTATTTATGATTTATCGTATTTTTGCTAAAACTGTGATTTTGGAAACTCCTGATTTTGAAATATTTAATAAACGCATTATATGTTGTTGTTAACGCCATACCATATACCTATAGTTGTGTAATTTATAAGATTATCAAATTCATAGTTTATATAGGTAGTTGAGTCGATATTTGGAATTATTTATTTACAGGATAATATAGAATATATTAACATAATATAGGTGGTAGTACTTATTTTAAACTATCTTTTAAAGGAAAGTATGCCAAATACTTTTGTAATGTGTTAAATAAAAACGGTAATTTATAAAAAAAAATGTGTTCTGGTCTATTATTACTATTACTATTCTCATATACAATATAATATTGTAACTTGTAACACATTTTAATAAAATAATTACTGTTCAAATAAAGTTATAAATTATTATACGATTATTACGATTGAACTGTGCAGGTAATATGCATCATAAATCATTATAAATAAAACAAGTGTAAATAACAATATTATACTATACGCACTATCTCTACATGGTATCACCTATAGGTCAATGTGTATTTTTTTAATATTTATAAAATAATGAAATTAGAAGTATGCAATATTAGTGTATCTATATAATATATCATTATTGTTACTAATACATTTGATATGAATTAAGTTATAGTAAATTTTTCATTAATAACAATTTTAATCAAATAATATATTAATCTTATGGTATTATAATTTGTGACGTAATTTAAATTGTATACAATTATAATTAAGTTACCTACCTTTATATTTTTTTTACGTTAATCTTTTATACATAATTGTCTGATTCTACAATAAAACTTTTACAAACGATTAATATATATGATACTACAATTTACAATAATATTATAATTGTATTATGAAAAAGATTAAAAACAAGTTACAAGAGTTGGGTGGGTGGGTTCCTGACACAACATCTTACCTTGGAACTTGTTGAGCATTTTTACCGCTCCCCAAAGGAATCATATCAAAATAATAAATAGAATAATAATAAAAAAAAACATCATTAATATGAATTGTTAACCAGAATCATCGCTCCAATCATAATTTAAAATGAAATAAGTTTATGATTACAAATAAATTTGAACTCTTCGTGTGCTTGAAATATATACTTAGTTTATATTGTTTTGTAATCGTAATTAATAGGTAGATATGTAATAAGGTTTAGACTCATTATTGGTGTATAATCATCCATGTGTGTGAATCGTGTTCAAATGGCACACGTCCATCGTGCATATTTTTTTAGTAAAAGGTTTTCATTTAAATTTCGTGAATACATTCTATACTATTGTAGTTACTAGGTACTAATGATTAAATTGTTTGCCATACCCAAAATGGACTTTCCATCTCTCTTTAACACTATTGTCTTTATATGGGGATAACCATTGCACTGGTTGCCATTCCAATCATTTCTCCCACGTATAAAATAATGTATGTTGTCTTTCTCGGTATATATTCCTCTTTATTTGAGTCCTTTGAGTCTATCCCTTCCATTATGTTGGTTATGAAGGTTTCATGTCTTATTCAATTTCCCATAAGTTGTTCTATCTAAATAATACGAAATAGTCTCTTCCGTGTCTACATTTCCATTCCTTAAGACTTAAGCGTATAATAATATATTAATGTATCTTAATAGTTGGTTATTATTATTAGAAGATATTATAATAGTTCAATTGAGTTACAAATGTGTTATAAATTTAAATTTTTACACTCAAGTGACTCAACAGTCAGCATTTATTATTATTCATTTTTATATTTAAGTATGTTTTTTTAAGTAATTAACTGTATTTATTATTAATTAGGTAGGTACATAGTGATAATATACTACACAATATTAATAATTCAAATTTTACAAATGAACTATGCAATTAAGAAGGGTTAAATTAAATTTATATTTTCAAACTTAACCGGTTCATACTAAGGCTGATATTATAAGTTTTGAAATATTAATTTAATTACTTTTATTAAATATGATATTTTTTAAAATATACACTTTTTTTATACCATTCTTTATATCGGCACGTTTAACTAAAAGTTCCAAAAATATAACAATAATACATGGAATTCATATCTAAAATAAAAAAAAAATATATTAGTTTACTTTATAAAAAATAAAAAAATAAATATAATTTCTATACCTGAATTATTTTAATACAATTGTTTTATTGAACGAAACTCAGATAGAACATAAAAAAAAAATTGTATTCTTTGATTCATTAAATATTTTTATCGCAATTTATTGTTATCAGTTGTTTATTTTAATTGAAATAATATAATATAATATATAATTCTATATAAATAACATATCTATTCAAATTCACAACTCGATAAAGGTTATTGATAAGCTGCCTCAGTTTCAGAGTACCTACCTAACATGAATAAACATTTCACCTGCAGCAGCCGATAATTCTCATAAGTTCGGCGGACATTTACATTAGAGATCTTCTTAACGGTTTGACTTAAACACGTCACCGAATCTACGTGAATAGTTAAGTATATACAATATTATAACTACAATTCGATTTATTTCTACGATTGAAATAATTGAATAAATACAAATGTTCAGAGTAACAATAATGTATTTTTTTTTGCAATTCCAGTTAACTGGAAGAAATGTTAAATATATTTTTAACGTTTTTTTTAGTGCATTCCATTCACAACCCTACAATTAACATAATTTCAATTTATTATATTTGAAATTTAACGTTTGAAATTTTTTTTTGATCTATCTACTTTTAATTTTTATTTATTTTTTTCAATGATTAATTACGATGGGAAATTTATATTTTAATATTAAAATAAATAATAAGAACTAATGAATCACGTGTATTTTTTTATTTTTTTTTATTAGCCAAATATTTTCATAACTCATTAATCATTAGTATATTATGCTTGTAAAATATAATAGAAAAATAAAACCATAAACATTAAATGTTAAAAAAAAAACAGCCAGAGTAAATACTAAATAGTTATAAAAAGTGTACAATATTTATAATAAAACGCCGGATTTATCTTTGAAGATATGAATGGTTTTAATATTACTGAAGTGGGTGTGTTGTTAAGTATAGCTATAATGTCATGTATGCTTAAAGGGTGCTGATTAAGTAAGGGGTAGGGGTGGAGTGAAACTTGGAACAGAGGTGATGACAAAAGTCACAGATAAATATAAAATATGATATTCCTCATTGTAGGGGATGCCATTCAAATTCTACCATCTTTAAACATAACATTTTTCATTTGTGTCTGAAATAAATTGAATGCTATTTAGTTATAGTAGCGTGGGACTTACACAACATTATTAGAGTTTTAATTAATTATAAATGCATTTATATTTTGAAAAAAATTTAAAATATTTGAATACTCAGGTATTTAATTTGTGATTTTATTTTGCATATTAAGTATACTATAAATATTTATAAATTAGATTGTATTTATGTGCCTACACTAAAGGTAGATTTTCAAATAAATAATTTTTTTAGAAATGACTCCCTAATAATATATATCTAGTGTCATTTCTGATCAGAAAATATTTTATAATTTAACAAAAAGAGACAATAAAAATAATAGTGCTTTGAAAAATAATGAGCAAATCATTATGTATCACAATTTATAATATACTTGAATAATGAATTATAATATATTATAATAGTTTGAAGTTCTTTATCTATAACAATAACTAAGAAACAAAAACTTTTTTAAGATTTTTGAACCAACATTTTAATATTTGCTTTAAAAAAAAAATCAAATACCAAATTATTTATCATTTTTACAAACTCAATGTTAATTATTTTTAAACGTGAAATATAACTTGCTTAGAGAAAAAATAAAAGCATTGATAAATATTGAAATCTGAAGTAAACCACCAGATTAAAAGTATTATTTATTTTAAAAATGTGTATGTTCCATGTGTAAATAAGAAGTTTTATAATTATGTATTGATTATTAATTGTTGTTAAGTCCTATAATATACAAGGCGATTTATCGGGCACGCTCACCCACATATTTCATTAAGTTTATTCATACTCAGATTTATGGAAATGCTAAACATTACATAGTTATATGTATTTTCAAATATTTACATTTTTAAGCAATTTAAGGAGTGTTCAGTTTCGATTCAAACTTTTTTTTTCTAACGAGATCCATCAATCTTACTGTGCATTTTTAAGAGAATGATTTTTTTTTTAAATTTTGATTCATCATAATTCGAACTGTTTGATA